CCTCTTTATCATCAGTCTCCAGACTTTTTTGTTACTGCCTCCAGTTGAAAACCTCTTCAGTTTCTGGTTGATGGCTGAGGGTGATAAGTCTGATTGTAGTTCTGATGAACCTAGCTACGTTAAAGATGCTAAACATTTAAGAAAAGCTCGTAAACAACTGAAAAAGATATTAAAGAGAAAGAGGAAGAATTGGGACTATACAAAGAGAAATATGAAGATTCTCTGAAAAAGATTGAATGTCTTGAAGATGAAGTTCAATATCTTAGAAGGAAACTAAATTACTTTGAAGTTCGTGAGAGAAGGAGGGAAAGAGAAGAAAAGAAAAAACAGAAGTTGATAGAGGAAGAAGTGGACATTAAAAGAAGGGTGAGGTTAGAAGAGGAGGAAAGAGCAAGAGTAAAGGAAGAGATAAAACAAAGGAAGAAAAAGGAATGAAACTGTGATGATTTGTACTTATTGTCTATGATATTATATTATATGACATGATTTCATCAAAAATTTCAAATTTTAAAATTGTGTTTTTTAATTCAATAAAAATGAAGTAAAAATTAATAAAATTCAATCAATGAAAATGATTAGTAATCAAAGCAGCATTCTTGCATCCCCAATATTTGAGCTGGGATGATAGCCAGCATCGTTGCGAATAGGTGATGCTGCGTAGCTGGCCCCCCACCACTACCACCCATTCCACAACCTAAGGATGAAAAGGAATGGCATAATACTATAATCATTATTATAAATATCACCTTATTTATAGGTTGATTGTTGCCATATTGAAGTCAGCCTGGTCTGTCATTGATGCGCAAGCTGCATAAAATATAATATATATATAAAGGAGTCATTATTCATGTTTATTTCATACAAACTACACATGCAATAAAAAGAGATGAGAAAAATAATGTAAACAATAGTCATAAATAACATGATTACTTTTGTTAAAAAAATAATGCTGCTTAGTGCTTACTAATGCTGCGTTTACACTACAGAAGTGGGCCAAACTGTGCTGAACCAGGCTGAGCTGGCCCTGCTGTACTAACCATTCTGGCCTGGTTTGGCCCAGCTCACTTCAGCTCAGTTTGGTTACTGTTTACACTATGAAATGAAACTGTGCTGGCCCACTTTAAACAGGGCTGGCTCAGTTAAAGAAGCTAGTGTAAACATAGTATAACTTTTCTTTTCCTGTAGTAGAGATTCAATGGAATTAACTCTGCATGGTTGAACCTCTAGTGCCAAAACAAAGTGGGAGCTAGGAATCTAACCTGGTTGAACCTCTAGTGCCATGATAATGGCATCTAGGAATCTAACCTTTCCTCATAGTATGGTTGAACCTCTAGTGCCAAGATAAAGTGGCAGCTAGGAATCTAACCTGGTTGAACCTCTAGCTAGTGCCATGACAATGGCAGCTAGGAATCTAACCTTTCCTCATGTTAATAGTGTGGTTGAACCTCTAGTGCCATGATGAGGCAGCTAGGAATCTAACCTTTCCTCCAAGCACCACTCACTCTTTCCTGATCTTTACCTACCGTATTTCCTCGTGGAAACGCCTAGGCGTTTATTTCTTATAGAGACCTGTGGGCCAGCCTGAAATGCGGATCCACGCGGATCAAATGCGGATCGGGCTGAAATGCGGATCAACG